ATATATTTTGTCTATATACTCTCTTCTCTCTATATAGGCAAAGCATTTAGGTATTATATTTGAAATTAATTATTGCCACAACAGGCATTGTTGCTTCTAGTAAAATAGAAGAGAATAATTTTAAAGTTGGTCTTAGATTAAGGTCCTTGAAAATTTTGTTGAGGTCCTTGAAAAGTCCTTGAATTTCAATCTCATCATAGAGTGGGAACCCTGTTTCAAGTTGCCCATCAATTTTCTTACTTTTAAAAAACTGAGATGTAAGACCCATTTTTGTAATTTCCTTTACATTTCTGGATTGCGCATGCATATGGCATTGTTAAAAGTTGTATAATAATAATGATGTATGTATTTATAATAATGGCTTATAAAGGAATCGCGTATCTGAGGGACAAACAGGTCTGTTTCTCAACGAATGACAAATATTTGAAATTGGCAGCTTATAAGCTATATGGTACTGTTCTTGGTGATCTTAATAGCCTTATTTCTCGGTGGCTATGGCTGGACTCACTTGGGGAACACAGTATTTTCATTACAGAAAAAAAATTAGAGAGAATTTCTCACCCTTTCTCAAAAACAGGGTGAGATTTCAAAAAGTTAAGTGGGATTTCTAAAAATTAAAAAAACACGAATAGACTTGGAAAAAAATTATTTCTTTAGTTATAATACATTTTTAACATCTTCTAATTTTTAAAGCATTTGATATTTTTGCTGCATCATCATATGGAAAATGTTCTATATCTACTTTTTCATCAGCTATTCTCATTAGGATGCTCAAATGATTATTAGTCAATCTGTTACGAAATTTTGTCTTAAATCGGTTTTGGGTGCTAAATGACCTAGCAACAGATGCTGACCTATCCTCTACATCTGCCAGCATAGGCTTTTCAATTATTTCTGCTATAGAATAGTGAAGTTTGTAGAAGTTATTTCCATGTTCATACTTCATGCTATGTCTTCCAGCAAAGCATAGTTTTCACAGCCTTTAACTTTTACAAATTGCTGTAAATTGTCGATGAGGGAGTTTAGTAATTTGTAAAAATAGAGCTGACTTTAAATAACTTATTATAAAGGACTCATTTTTTCTCAACGGATTTTTTATTTAGCTGAAAAATATCCGTATTTGTTTCATTTTGACTGTTTCTACCAACATTTGTTTCATTTTCATTTGTCCGTTACGGAGTAGAAGATGTTGCCTTAACAAGGCGTTTGTCCATCTTACATTCATGCACAAAAAAATTAAAACATCTTACATGAAAAAACCTTACCTACGGTGAACATGTGGTTGCAGAGAAATGTGTGCTGAAAGGGGTTCTGTAGTTCGGGGGGGGGGGTGTTCTGCTGTTCGCACCTGTTCTGAACAATACTGTAAATAGGGAAGCTAGATAACAAGGACCAACGTTGAAAATAATGAAAGATCAAGGAAGAAAAGTGAAGCGGATTTTATTTAAAATGGCAGAAGACGAAATTTTTTCCAAAATTCGCGAGATTCGCCATTTGAAAATTGATTAATTAGAGTGCGCGAACTTCTCGCGTTAATAATTTTTTAATGCGAGAAAAGAAAAAAATATGCGAGATTCTCGCGCTGTAGTGAAAACACTGGGAACAGGAGTTCAAATCTATCCGACCATTGTATAGAAATGGTAACTGGGGCATGTTAAATCTGTTGGGTCACAAAGTTCTCCTTGTTCTCATAACAAATCATACCTCTGGGGTTAGTGAAATGGTAATTGATTGTTCTCTGCTTCAGGTCAGAGTTACTATCTGGATGAATGAATGGGTCTGCCCTATAAATGGGTACAATGTATAAGTGTGGCAGCAGTCAAATTCTTGGCCATAGATGGCACCACTGGCAAACAAGAACAATCGCACCCCTTACCTTGATGGCCTACAACGACAACACTTCACTTACATAATTTTTTAATATGGGAAGTCCCTGCCGGCCTCAGAATCCTCGAGTGGTAAATGGTGACTGATGCACGTTAAATCTGTCCTACCATGTTCCCATAACAAATCAAAACCTCTGGGGGTACTGATCTAGGAGTTTCTTTGTCTTCCGGATTGGTTCAAAATTACAAGGCTACGGAGTTGAACATTAGTAGTCGTAAACCCAAAATAGGGTCGTCTGTGCAACGACGGATAAAATAAAATAAATATGGGAAGGTGAAAGGTAGAGAAATGTTCAGTTTAATGTTTGTCAAAGCAGTCATCAGTTACAGATGTCTTTGAAAGAAAATCAATAGTATTGTATTCATTATTATCACCCAATATTGGTCAATCGCCTAGCCCTATTTTTAGAGCTCTTATCTTTTAAGAGCAATGGTAATAATGCCACATAATTTTGACCTTGATGAAACCTATTGACAGTGCCTGAGCTGTTACCCCTTTCTCCCTTTTCTTCCACACGGCAACTAACAGAAGTACTTTCAGCCATGACAAATTTAACATACACCTTGCTGTATGTGCATGACAGTTTTTCGTTGATCAGGATCAAACTCACTACCCCCAGCTCTCCAACCAGCATTGTGAGTTATTCCTGAACCAAATGCACCACCCAAACATTAGTATTATATTCATGTAAATTATGATTTCATATAAAAGTATATTCATCAGCATTGATTTATTTTATATACATTTAAGTGTCAATTTACTAAAATCGTAGCATTAAGATTGACTAAAGAATTACTCAAATAACTTATTTGAATACAATTTGCTGAAAACTATAGTAGTATTTCTTTGGTAGGACTAATTGAATCAAATTATAGAAAGATTTTGGATGCTTATAGTTCTGAATATATTGTAATTTGAAAATTTGTATTTGTTCTAAAGGATTTGAATTATTACTAAATTATTCTTTTCATGTTAAATTCGTTTTTTTTCTCTGCCTAAGCGAAACTGGACAGTTAAATTTTATGCAAATTTTCCAAATGGCTAGCCATTTGTTACAGGGTCAATTTAATTTTTTATGCTTCTTAAGGAAATGTTAATTTATATGAGTTACTTATTTGTTGTATGTAATTTCTAACTTAATCAAATGTATAATTTCATTTCTAGTTTGATGTTAGTTCTCCCAGACATCAAAAGAAAAATGATAAAAGTATGTTTTTTTCTTTAATACCTTTATTGTATAAAAAGCATAAGTTTTTTTTTCTTCTGTTGTACCATTTTTAGCCATAATCCAAAATCATTGTCATATCATTTTCAAAACCAATATTTTGAAATTTAATCTTTAGTATTATCCTAAATCAGGGATATACAGTGGGCCAAAAAAGAAAAGAAAAAAAAAACCTACCCAGAATAACTTTTGATGTAATGGTCAAATCTTCATGTTCTAGAACTAATCATTTCAATTAGATTCTAGGACTAATTAATAAGTAAAGACAATATTTTAAGTTACGGAATCAGACATAAAAGCATACTTTCTTTTTATAAGTGCATCTTTTTTTTTTTTTTTTACAAATTTAGATTTCTGACTTCTAAAATATAGGGAATACCCGTAATCTGGGAAATATGGTTCCAATAGTTTGGTCAGGAGAGCGCTCTAATGTTTTCACCTCCTAATTTTACTTTTTGCGTATTTCTTTATATCTTGAGAACTTTTTAGGCAAATCGAAAATTTTTGCACAGAATTTAAAATTTGTTTATCCAAAGGTAATTTAATGCAAAAAATAACTTTTAATAAATATGCAATTATTTTTTATTATTTTATTTAGTAACGGTTTGGAAAAATGTTAAACTGACACTTAACGCAAATTGTTGCATCAGTTTAAAGAATATAATTGTGCATGGAAAAATACAAAATTAGAGCAAAATCTGAGATATCGAATTTTAAATATCTGACTTTTTTGAAATTAAATTGATGACTAAACTGCATGAAGATAAAAGACTGATAGAGTATCTATGCTGTGTATGTAATATACTTGTGTTATTATTTTTTTATGTATGCAAAAAGAAATATTATATTAAAATACAATTTTTCTTTCTCCAGGTTCAGTAGAAGAAGTCAATCATAGTGTTACTAGTAACAGGTTCATGTTTAACTTATTTCTTGGTTATTTTTTTCAACTTTTATATCACATCTGAATTTCGACTTGTGTAATATTTTTTAAAAATTTATTTTAGATGTTCACTCCGCAGAAGCTCAATAAAAGAGAAGGTAAAAATATTTCTTACACTTTTTACTAAAGAAGTTTCATGTTTATGTGTGTGTGTATATATATATATTGTTTGTTAACTTATTGTTTTTCTTAACTTTCTTCGTGTTTTCTTGTACAGTAGGGAACTGATTATCCGGGACCATCGCTATTCCGGATAACTGATTTTTCCGGTTTTCTGAATCGCTATAAAAAGCCGTTTTTTTATTGTTAAACCCCACTAAAAAAATTTTTTTTTTTTTGGAAATTATCTTAAAAAGAACGATGGAGTAATACACTAATGATTATTTCCAAAATTATGGTAAGGTCTAATTATTACTAATGATTATTTCCAAAATGATGGTATCTTTCGAAAAAGAACGAAAAATCCTAAAATCTCATGAGGAAAAAAAAATTTTTTTAAATGGCGGGAATATTTCTCAAATTTCGTTCCAGTTTTTTGGTTTTCTGATTTCCGGATAACGGGTTCTGTACTGTATTTATATATATATATATATATATATATACACACACACTCACATACATATTCTAAAAGAGGAGCTCTCAAAGTGTGTGCCACACAGCATTCCAGGGTTCCCTCATGCCTATAACTTAAAATCTGTTATTAATACTTTAAAATAATTTGTTGTTATTCAAAAGACAAAAGTTTCACTGTAAAGTGGGTAGATTTTGTACTTAATTAAGATCTGAATATCCTATCCTGAGTGGATTCTCAGAGGGGTCAGTTTATAACTAAAATTTTGCTCGTATAATACCCCTGCCCTCATATATACACCCCTGTTTTCATAATTTTTTTCTTTTTCATACCTGTGGGAAAATGGTTTTAAGCTATCACTGTTATAAAGAGCAAATATTGCTCTAAAATATTGTAAAAGAAATGTGAGTTACTGCATCAAGCTTTATTCCATGACTTAAAAAATTATTTAATGAGCAGCATACTCATCCATCACACTGAAAAATATCCGATAACTCCAAGTGTAGGTTGTGATGTCTCCTTATACATAAAATCTCTTATATTTTAAAAACTTATAGTGTTATTAATAAGTTATTTTTATAGAACTTTAGGCAATTTTAAGTATAGATTGTATTTACTCTGTCATTACCTACCTCCACAGTAGTTTTGTTCCTTAGTCTCACATATATGAAACATACATTCTCTAATAAATATTATACCTCAAACAAATATACAGTACAGAACCCGTTATCCGGAAATCAGAAAACCAAGAAACCGGAACGAAATTCAATAAATTTTCCCGCCATTTTTTGAAAAAAAAATTTTTTTTCCTTATGAGATTTTAGGATTTTTTCTTCTTTTTTGAAAGATGTTTACCTTACCATCATTTTGGAAATAATCATTAGTGTATTACTCCATCGTTTTTTCTTTTTAAGATTATTTCCAAAAAAAAATTTTTTTTTTTAGTTGGGTTTAACAATAAAAAAAAACGGCTTTTTGTAGCGATTCAGAAAACCGGAAAAATCAGTTATGCGGAATAGTGATGGTCCTGATCGTTCCGGATAATCTGTTCCCTACTGTATTATGACTTTGATTCCTTTAGACAATTTTATATATTCTAACAATGCCATAACTTTGAAAAATTTGGGAACCTCTGCTCTTAACAAAGATTGCATGCTCCAAAATCTTTTAATTTTCATTTTGGAAAAATATTTTAAGTTTTTTTTCTCAAAAGAACTGTATAACACAGCTGATTGTGCTCTGAAAAAAATCCGGATTTCTGGATTTTTCGCTAACAGTCATCGGGAAATCGAAGGTCCAGACATTTAAAAAAATCGTTGATCACAGAAGTTTCCGGAAATCAAATTTTCAAAGGTGGTACTTAAAAACACAGTTTATTTTATTTGTTTGTAAGGGAGAGCCAGATACTTTATAAGCTTATATTCATGATTAATATTAATTTTTTATCAGTAAATAGTTATTATAATCATAAACTCAAGAAAGAAAGACATATTTGTAAATTTTAATTATTTCTCCAGGTCATCATAGGTATGTGTAAATGGTATAGGCATGTGTAAAATTTTAAATATATTTTAAGTAAACTAAGAAATATTAAGAAAAAAGAAAAAAAACTTGTTTAAATTTCTTTCTAATTTTTCAATTTAAACTTTTTTTTTAACTCAAGAAATTTTCCTGAATTTTGACTTGGGCTCACAATTACCCCTGATATAAAGTCTTGTAGGCATTTTTAATAAATTTCGCATCTGTATTTAACCATTTTGTTAAATGATTTTTTTGTTTATATTTACAGTCTACTATTTTGCTATTTAATTCTAAACAGGAATATATTTCACCAATTGATAGTTCTTTCATTATCGTTCGGTCGCAGTTCTTCATTTATCTTTATTCATATTTTAAATTCTTTCACATTCTATAAAACATTATTTTTCTGAATTGACTCCCCTAAAATTAATATTTGTATTGTTGATTTTCATGTAGTGCTTTTTATCTTTAATATATTAATTATATTATCTATTAAATAGAATTTAAAATTGTATGCTTTTTATGTTTCAGATTTCTAACTCATATCTGATGTGTTCTTCCTCAGAATTAAAGGGTAAATACCTTTTAAAATTTTAATTTTTATATGTAAAAAATACTTTAAGTTACTTTGATTTTTAAACATTTATTTGGAGTAACATTTATTTACTTGAATTATTATTAAATCATATATATCGTTTATTATTAAAACATATATATCATCTGTTATTAAAACTATCTTACAGATAGATATAAGTGCTACACAAGTTTGTCGCAGAAATGCTGAAAAATTCTGCTTAATTCAGGACAGATCTTTATCATAAATAAATATTCATGCAAAATTCTGAAAACAAAGATTTTTGGCATTAAAGAAGAGTTAAATATAATTAATAATTTATTTAATTACACTACTGCTTTTTTTCTCATAATAATTCCTGTTTTATTTATTTATTTATTATTTTTTTTTTAAAAAAAAAGTCTTACTATAAACTATTACAGTTTTTTCTTCTAAACCTCCATTAAGTTTTTTTTATAGGAGGCAATCCAGATAAATTGAAATATTTATTATTATTTTATTTTCTGTTTACAGTATTTTAACAGAAAATAAGATAAAATAAAAACCTGAGATTTAATAAAAACTTCATGCACCCAGATTTTTTGAAGATCTATTTCCTGTTCATTTAAAATAGTCCCACTTTTACAGAAATTGCTATATACATAAAAAAAATTTTGTTTAAAAACCTGAAATATTTTTAGTACTTCATAAAATGTTTGCTTTTTGTTTTCACTTATCACTGTTCCCAAAATCTTCATCTTAACTTATTCATAATTTTTTTTACACATGAATGTTTAAATCAATTACTACTTAATTATTAAAAAAATTAGATTCTTTTAATTGTTAATTTTAATAATTTAATTTAAACCATTAACATTGTAGTAAATATTGAATTTACTATTCATTTTATTGTTTTATAGAAATTGTCTGTAATAATTGAAAATGATCCAATTTACGTGACATTATGGTTATGTTTATGTGTTTAATTTTTTGTATTAAATCTAATTTATATTTTTATTAAATATAGTTTTGTTATAAATTTTTTTCTTCTTGTCCTTGAATTTATATAGTCTTGAGAAAAATTGAGGAAGTTTTTTTTCTTTTTGATTATGAACCCTATATTTTTTGCTGTTTTTTAAAAAATTCCAACTTTAGTAACTCATGTAATCCTTCTGCAGCTCACCTTTTGGGAACTGTTATTGTGGAACAATATGTAAAAATAGTTTCCAGATATACAATTTAGCATGAAAGTTGAAGATGTGATCTGCCCTCAAATGGACTCGAATTTTGTTAACATTTTTGCAAATCTGTTTTACTATTCTATATAAAGAAAGGAAATGCATTTTTGAATTAGTGACACAGGACTAAAAATTAATTTAAATGCTCAGGAAAGGAACAAATGAAGCTTCAATTTCAAGCATTGAATGAATTTTTGTTTTTAGGTTGTGTAGAGTTTTTCTTATTTTATAGATGTTATATGATTTTTTTTCTTCCTTTCGAACCTCCAAATTTTTTTTAAATATATTTTTTAACTACCTATTTAAATGTAACAGTTGCAAATACCTATCTTCAAATTGTTTAAAATATACTGCTTTTTTTTTAATTAAAAGAAATAGATGTGACTGCTCCTTCTCAGCCAAGTTTACCAGAGAAAAGCATGGATCTTGATCTTGATGTTCCAAAATCTGCCTTGCTTGAATCATCTTTAGTAAATCCAAAAAGTAAACCAATCTTTTTTTTTTTTTTTCTTTCTTTTTTTTGTAATCTGTAATAATACTATTATAGACAAAGGTTTGAAAAAAGGTATGAAAAATAAAGGTTTGTGTGTGTATATGTATGCACATATTTCTGTTTCCAGAACCATTTGTGTTATGGGCTTGAAATTTAGTCAGTGGATACAAAGAACAATTTTAACCCCCAATCCTAAATACAGTAGAGCGCCGATTATCCGAACTGCTCGGGACCGAACGTGGTTCGGATAATGAAAAGTTCGGATAATTGGAAAGTAGTTTAAATGATTATTATTTATGCACTAACTTCCCTTTTCTCACTTTTTCCAGGCTTAGAACTGGCAGTACTATTTAAAATAGCTCTGGCGTGTTTAAAAGTTTTTTTTCAGCAATTTTAAAATCGTTTTCATTTATTTACTTCCTTTTTTTTTTCATTTTGAATTTTTTTGTCAATTACCGATTTAAACCTTCTTTGTCTATTTTCCATTGCAAAAGAAATCCAGCAAAGACTTTTGTTTCAAAGAAGATGCTCTTTTTTGAGCAGCTTTTATTCTTTTTAACTAAATCAACTGAACTGGATCAGCATCATTTTGACGTTCTAGACTGTCAAAATGAAGCTCGCATGCTTGGAAAATAATTTTAAGTTTAAGAGGGCTAAAAGGGTATGTAGGTTTAACTATATGTATGTCTACTATAAGAAAACTGCTTAAAAAGGTTGTAAATTAAATATGGTCATTAAATGTAGTGGAGATTATTTATTCTTCTGAATTTAGAAGATTTGTCGATAAGTTAAAAAGTTCTAAACTTGAAAAAGGGGGGGGGAACGAATTCGGACATAGTTCGGATAATTGGACGTTTGGATAATAAGGGTTCGGATAATCGGTGCTCTACTGTATTGTAAAATTTCCACATTAAGAGTTTTAATAATTTAATTTAAATCATTATAATTGTGGCAAATGTTTAATTTACTCTTTATTTTGTTTTTTTTAAATAAATTGTCTAGAGTCTTTAGAAGTAATCAAGTTTGCATAATGGTATGATAATGTTTATTTATTTATTTTTTTTTGTATTATTAAATGTAAATTACATTTTTATTAAATGCAATATTTTTTATAATTTTTTCTTTTATTTATTTTTATCCTTGAGTTTTATATAAATTAACCTGAGAAGGTCAGGGAAACTCAGTCTTTTTGAGTATGAACCCTGTATTTGTTGCTGGTTTTAAAAAAAATCCAACCTTTTGGAACTCATATAATCCATATGTGGAACTTTTTGGAACCACTGCTCTAGAACATCTAGTAAGTATGGTTTCCAGATAAACTTATTTTAGCATATAAGTCGAAGATGTAATACAGGCGTACTACACTCAATTTTGGTTTTAATTTTGTGAGTGATTTGTTAGTATTTTTTAATGATATTGTTTAAAATTAAATATTGTAAAATTGGCACATTCAGAGTTTTAATAATTTAATTTAAATCTATAAAATTGTGGCAAATCTTGAATTAACACTCTATTTTATTTTTTTAAAGAAATTATGTACACTCTTGAAACTTTCCAATTTACACAATGTTATAGTTACATTTATTGATTTTCTTTTATTTCATGTATTTTACATTTTTGTTATAATTTTTTTCTTTTCTTTATTTTTTAATATATTGAATAGGGCAATGAATTTCTTCTTTTTTAGTATGAACCCTGTATTTAATACTGGTTTTAATAAAATCCCAACTTTCGGAATCAATATAATACTTTTGCAGAACACCTATTGGGAATCGCTGCTCTAGAGCATTATATAGAAATGATTTCCATATATACTAATTTTAGCATGTAAATCAAAGATTTGATCTTGGCCTACTACCTTCAAAAAGACTCTAATTTTGTTAGCGATTTGTTAGTCTTTTATTTTCAAATCATATTCACTATTCTCTATATTCTTGATATTGAACTAAAGATTAATCTAAATGCTCAAGCGATGAACAAATAAAGTTTCTTTTTTAAGCATTGATTAAAAAAAATTTTTTTTTTTGTGTTTCAGTTTAGAGATTTTTATTTCATTGATGTTATACTACCTTTTTCTTTTCCTTTTAATCTTTCATGAGTTTTTATATATTTTTTAAATTAATAGTTGTCAAAATCTATTTTAAATCAAATGATTTAAAACAAAAATAAATTGGTTTCACGAATTAAACTTTAAATATATAAGTAAAATCTCTTCTAAAATTCTGGTAGAGACTGAAATAAAGACTAATTTTTTTAAAATTTTATTATTGTAGTTGATTTGTAAATATTATTTGACATGTAAAATGAGTAAAACATAACTTTTTTAAAAAATAGATGTATCTGCTCAAATTGAACCAAGTTTACTAGAGAAAGAAATAGATCTTGATATTCCAAAATCTTCTTTCTGGCTTGAATCATCTTCTGTAAATCTGAAAAGTAAGCCAATTTATTTTTGACCTATTTTCAAATTGTTTAAACGAAAGATAGAATTGTTTCAAAATCTATGAGAGAGTTAGTAGCTATGAAATAATACTGATTTATTATTATTTTATTTGTAAATATTATTTTAAGCTTAAAATATTCTGCTTTTTCTTTTAATTAAAAAAAATAGATGGAGCTGTCCCACCTCAACCAAGTTTACTAGAGAAAGAAATGGATCTTGATGTTCCAAAATCTTCTGTCTTACTTGAATCATCTACTCTAAATATGAAAAGTAAATCAATATTAACATTGTAGTAAATATTGAATTTANTAAGTCAATCTATTTTTCTTATATATAATAATAAAATAAAAGGTTGTTGCATGGTTTCAAAATATTCTGTTTTTAGCATGAAAATCAAAAGTGTCATCCTGGCTTACTGCCCTCATCCGAATTTTGTTAGCTTTTTTCCAAATCGTTTTCACTGTTCAATAAAAAGAAAGGAAATACATTTTGTGTTCTTGATCCTTGAATTTAATATTATTTTAAATGCTCAAAAGATGACACAGGACTGAATATATATATATGTAACATAAAAAGCTTCTTTAATCTTTTTATGTTATTTATTTGCTATAAAACAACTGCTAATTAATTATTCCAAATCAAAACACTTTCTCGTACTTTTAAAATCTATGTTCTTAAATCTATTTTTGGCTCAAGTATGCATAATTAAAAGTGAAGACATTTTTCCTTTTTGTCTTTGTGGGAATCACACGACCTTTTTCATAAACCAATAGTAATTTCTAAGATTTCCCTCTTTTCCCTAAATAGAGACATTTTCGGATTTTTCACAAGATTTTCCCTACCAGAAAGACTGATCATCGATGGTGTTAACTTCACTTTTCGCTCGTCATCCATTTGAAAATGATCTAATAAAATTCTTGTGCTTTCATTAAAATTCTGTGTCTGTTTTCCTGCTCAATCCCACTGCATCATTTAACAAGCCGGCAGGATTATAAAGCCTGTTGGAAACTGGCACAGGATATGAATTAATAATCTTTCTTTTGTCAAAATATAATTCAAAAATGAAAACAAAAATAAAATTGGCTGAATGATGAAATTGATGCTGAATTGACATTGCTCTTAAAACAGATAATGCTCGTGAAACATATTATCCCTTCTAATCCTGAAAAGAAGAAAATGAGGCCAAAAGAATAAAACAGAAGAATGTCCGGACTTTCCTCCATGAGTCACTACCGTTGCTGCTGTGGGACTTACTGCTGGAGATTGGATTTCGTCGTTCGGTTTCGCCCACCCTGTCGGAATCAGCAATCAGTGGAAAGTCTCTTGCGGGTTTACAACTGGTGCTAGTGAGGAGGCGATGAAAATCCTTCCTAATTGTGATCAACTTGTTTTGATTACCATTAGTTCTCAGTGATAAATCAAAAAATGAATGATTTAAAATTATTCACGGTGAACAATTTTTCCCTGTGTCTGTTTTCCTGCTCAGTCCGACTATCATTTTACAACTGAAAAAATATATATGTTTATGTTTCTATGTAAAGTTATTTTATAGATGTTATGTGACTTTTTTATTTTCCTTTTGATTTCTGTGGATTTTTTTTAAAAGCATTTTTTCATGACTATTTGAATTTCATCGTTGCCGACGCCTATTTTCAAATTATTTAAAAGCAAAATAGAATGTTTTTAAAACCTATAATCTAAATAACATAACTTATTTTTAAATATAAAAGTAAAAGCTTTTAAAAATTCTGAAAGAGTTAGTAGCTATGAAATGTAGACTGACTTTTTTTATTATTACAAGTTTATTTGTAAATACTATTTTAAGTTTAAAATATAGTTTTTTTTAATAAAAAAAATAGATGTAACTGTTCCTCCTCAATCAAGTTTACTAGAGAAGGAAATGGATCTTGATGTTACAAAATCTTCTGTCTTGCTTGAATCAGCTTTAGTAAATCCGAAAAGTAAGCCAATCTATTTTTTAAAATTTATAATAATAATATTGTGTGCATGTGTATCCATGCAGGGACTGCAGACCTCCTATTTTTACTACTTTTTTCCTATTATTTCAGAACCCCTCCTTTTTTTCCTGATATTTGTTATTATTTCCTACTTTTTTTCTTCTTTTTATAAAATCATTTGTCATTTCTGTTACTTCCCCTTTGAACATAGTGACAGCCAAGGAAAGGAAATAATCAAGTATTGCAACTGCACCTGTTTTTTCAATTCATTTGTTTTGAATAAGATGTGAGGAGGGGGTAGAATGTTGTAGAACATGAATTGATTTTAGTATGTCAGCTTCTGTTTGTGCTTGCCAATTGATGTTTAACTGCAGTGGAAGAGAAATAAAATCCCACAGCATAAAGAGGAAAAAGATTGTGATACACATGCTTTTCCATCTGATTTCAATAAATGTATTAGCTAAATGGGGAAACCCAAGTTAAACTCTAGATAGTATTAATAATCCTGTGTCGGGAAGTAAAAATTTTTTTTTAATTTTTTCTTCTGCAGAAATTTTTAAAAAATTCTTTTTCTTCTCAGATTTATATTCAAAGATGCCTTACTTGCGATCAGAAAGAAATGCTCCTGCTCTTCTCATTTGAGAATAATGAAAAATAAAGAATTTTGAAATATAAGGAATAATACAAAATAAATTTGTTTTCTTTTTCTCCAGAAATGTTCCAAAGATTTTTTTTCCGTCTAGAATGATATTCAATTAATCTCTTTCTCCTGCATATGAGGTTACAGAAATGCTGGCAATTTTTCTATTTTAATTTGTTAATAATGAAAAATGAAGAATAATGAAGTAAAAAAAAATTTGGTTTCCTTTTTTGCAGAAATTTTCAAAAGATATATTTTACTGTTCAGAATTAGTTTCAAAAGATGCTTTTCTTGCCCATCAACGGGGGAAAAGAAATGCTTCTGATTTCTTCATTCCTTGTTGAGAATAAAAAAATTCGATAATGACTGGCTACAGCTAGAATTTCAATCAGATAATATTATATATAAAAAAAAAAAAACTGAAATCTCAAAAGTTTAAAAGATAGATTGCTCTAGAAATCGTGTTGCAAATTCAAATTTGTAACAAATCAATTAATTAATCCATGCAGTTCATTTTTTCTTCTTTTATTTATTATGCACTTAAAAATTTTCAATCGCACATTTGAGCCTTCACTTAAACGTGTTCATCAACTGAGTAAAAAATAAGTCTAAATGATCAGTTGATGAACAAATAAATTTTTGTTTTGAAGTTTGCATTGAATTTTAGTTTTTATGTTTCGATTTTGAGTGTTATATTTTATCAATAATTTGTGACTTGTTTCCCCTTTTGATCTTTCAGGAATTTTTTATTTTATGTGTAAAATATATATATTTTTTTCTTTAAATGAAAAAAATAGGCATAACTCCTCTACCTGAATCAAGTTTACACGAGAAAGAAATTGATCTTGATGTTCCAAAATCTTCTGTTTTGCTTGAATCATCAAATAATATTGTGGAAAGTAAGCCAATTTATTTTCTTAATCTATAACAATTTTAAAAAAAAAGGATTTGCGTATGGATGTCTTTCTCTTATATTTTCAGAACCATATATACTATGGATGGCCTTAGAACAATTTTAACCCATAATGCTGAAAATTGTTCAATAATTTTAATTCATCTGATTATCTTGAAACAGGGTTGGCAAGGTTTAGGACAGAATGGATTAATCCACGGTTTAAACCCTGGTTTAAACCGTCCTGTCCAAAACCCCTTTGTCCAAAACTGTCTTAAACTGTCCAAAACCCTTTTACTCAAATTATGTCATAATTTTATCTGAACAATATTTAAGAGGTAAAATAAACATAGAACTAATAACATATTGATAATTAAATATACTAGAGAATATTTGTTTTTAAAAGTATAATGTTTTATTAATATTGTTTGACTCTTCAATTTAAACAAAGGAAGATTAATCAGTAATCAAGTTCAATTGGTCCTCTCATTCAATAGTACATAACTGAAGTTTGGCCTTGCCATACA